AGGCAGGAGGATCGCTTGAGGCCAGGAGTTTGAGACCAGGTTGAACAAAGTAGTGAGGCCCTGTCTTGACAAAAAAAAAAATTTAAATTAGCCAGGGATGGTGGTGTGTGCCTGTGGTCCCAGCTACTGACTCAGGATCTCTAGTGGTGATGTCAATAAATCTGTATTTCTTCTGTATGCAAAAATTTTAGCAGCACTGTGCTGCAAGTTTGCTTCCCAAGTCCCATTCTATGTTAGCCCTGGAAGTGCCCAAGCTTTAGGACAGAGATGCCAGGAACTAAACCCTTATCACTTATTTGGTACTGGGGCCTGATGCTCTGGCCCATGCTACTTCTCTGTCACTTTCTGTAACCACCCAACAACTGATAAAGAAGGTTCTCGAGCTCTTTAGGAGACAGCCTTACATTCTACATGTGAAGACAGTGATCAGAAGGGATGACAAGTCACGTCTATTTTTGGCATATAAAGAAGAATAAATTGCAATTGTGAAAATATCTCTATGTTAAATCTTCCAGTAACACTTTTACTACAAAATAGGAAAGAGAGAAGCTTACTATGGACACAGAACTCAATGCCTCTGGATTTCAAGGGAAAATAAAGGAGCTTTAAAAAGTAGATGCAGCCAAGGGCAAGTGGTCGAATCTCTTGCCTAAAGGGAAGAATGTTTGTGTCCACTTTGAAATGAGTGAAAATATACAACCTGTTGCGTTGCCGGATGCTTTGACCTAATATATCCCAGGTACTATGCTTTTAATTTGTTGGTTACTCGAAGAGCAACTCATAGGGTGATCTGGGAAAATTCCAGGAAGGTGATTTTTGCCATTGCTCTTAGTGGCAAAAACAGCAATTACTTTTGTACCAACGTAAAATTAATTGTTATTCCTAAATATCTCTCTCATCAAAATGCCTGAAATACATTGCTTATGACTAAATATTTCATCCAGGCATCTTTCTTAGCAGATCTGGGGAAATATGGCCTATTGACACGAAAATCTCATTGTGAGATGGGACTCTGGGGAACTGGAGCATGTAGGGATGTTAGGGTGGAGATTGGAAAGTGGGGGTGGACTTTGCAGAAAGGAAAATAATGACTTTCTTAAAGTTTACCTTGTGTGACTCCATCACTCTCCCTAACACTTTGTGAAGCTCCAGCTAACCAGCTTAGAGCCAACTTTAAGAGCTGCCAGCCCTGCTTTCATCAAATGCCCCTGGTCAGAGAACCCTGAGCAGAGACATAACTGGTCCCTTTGACTTTGGTCTGTGATTGAGGAAAGGACAATTTCTTTTACCATGGGCCATTGCTGCCAACCAGCTATGGGCAGTGCTAGATCTTCCTCTCCTCAAGACCCTGACATGTATGCCTCCTTCAGTTTCTTATCCTTTTCCAAATATTATCTCCATCACCTACCATCCACATCCATAATTTTACTGAAATCCCTTCTAACATGAAATATAGCTGAGTGTGCATACCTTGTTTTCTGTTAGCTCCTTAAACATGAATTAATAATTCAGCAGATACTAACTGATGGTCAATTGAGAGCAAAAAGGAGACAATTTGGGGAGATTGTGATACAACGATGCCAAAATATTTTGCTCATGGAGGAGGACTTTGTAGATATGTAGAAGGGACAATAAAAAATAAAGTGAAAAAAATAAAACTTGCCAAGATGAATACCAAGTTGTTCTTGTATGTAAAATATGGGTAGAAGAGTTGTGTTGTAAGAGGCCCCAGAATTTGTAAATGGGAGTAATTTAAGACATTGGGTTTTTTTTTTTTTAAGTTGCTATTCAATAGGATTCAGATATTTAGATGCATTTTCTATAGCTTCAGTGTATATGTATATTTATTACATGTATCTATTTAATTTATTAGATATAGCAGAGAATAAAAATGGAGGAATTTCTGAAGGAACTGGATTGTAAACCAACCTTTCGAAGAGGCAGGTATTAAAAGAGAAAATTGCCATTTAGAGGGGATGGCATAAGCTCAGGGAGGGGGAAGCCATACACGAGAGGCTACAGGCTACTTGACAAAGGCAGAGTGGCCAAAGGGGTGAGGATGGGGGCATGGAGCAGCTGAAGAAGCAGTCTGTAGGGGCAGCCTTGGTGTGGATCTAGAGGGTTCCCAGTAAGCTCCTGGGCAGGATGACTCCATATGAAGACTGTGAAAGTGGCGCTGGATAGACAGCTGGGTCAGGGCTCTCGAGAAAGATAGGAGACTGGAGGGAAATACAGTATCTGGTTGATCTCCAGCCATAGACAGGTGAGTCAGAGAAAGTAGGCAGAAATAATGTCTCCACCTCTTTCAGGGTGTGTGTGGAGGGTCTGCTCTCATTTCCCTCAACTAGGCAATTTCTGGGATAAACATGAAGAGACTCGGAGGGATGGTCCCCTCTGGGTCAGGCTGCAGAGTGGGTCAGGTGGTCCTTTCAGATGGCCCTCGCCCCTCCCCGCAGAAGGTGTTCAGTCTCCCTTCTGTGCATCTTTCTTTGAGATGAACCATTAGGAAACCCATCATGTCCAGGGAGCTGAAAGTCTTTTGCCTGGTGGTGGAACAAGAACACATACATTCTGGCTTATGTCTGGCTCCATTTTTGGAACCCATTAACAATTACTCCTTTAAAATTCTAGATTGAAATGGAGAACTGAAATATGAAAGTGGCTCTTCAAATGACTGGGGCAATGTGTTTTAAGCATTTGATCTCAAAAGATTCCACTCACCTCTTCCAATTATTTTAGAGGCTGGCTTTCTCTGAGAATAGAGAAGCAAAGAGAGGGAATTAATTTTAATCTAATGTACTCTTAGTCAGTTTAGGGGGCTAAGGCCACAACTGGTGTTTGAAGGGAAAAAATATAGAGCCCCAAGTGGAGCCAGGAAAACTTCCATTTTCTTCTCAGCCTTAACACCCTCAGGAAATGATTGAAGCCTGGGAAATTATGAATATCAGAGTAATTGAATAGGAAAACCAACGAACAGCTGCAATTTTCAGCCATGGATTCTTTTTTTTAATTTAAGTGACAGGAAACCTTTTTTTGCCTTGGATTTTCCAAATTGATTTCAAGAGTATATTATGCTAATATATAGTAATTTTACAAAACAAAAAACGGCTTTCTACTTGGACTTTTAGGCATGAGAGTTGCATCATGATTGTTATACTTATTCATTCTCTGACGAAAGAAAAGAAGATTGAACATTAAAAGCTGAAGGTCATCCATACAGTTGTCCCAATAGCAATCTGTGTACCTTTAACCCTGAGGAGGAAAAGTAATTACCCTTTGGCTTCTGGTGACCTCAACTAACCTTTGTTGAAGGGCCAGAGAAAATAAAAGCTGACCATCAGCCTGCCCTGGCTGCCCTGGGCTTAACCTGCTGTGTGAATGAAGAGCAACCCAACAATAGGATGAGAGGATGTTGCCATGGAAATAGCCCTGGACGAAGGAGCAAAAATCAGAAATTTATCACAATTAATTGTTCTATTAAGAACCTCCCATCTTTTGGATTATTCCCTGGGGGTAGGGAGGGAAGATGTGTTCTCATTTAGATCTTATGAGAGAAAATTCTGCTTGCATAAATGAGGCAGCCCATATAGTAAAACCATTCTAAGTAGTGGCGAGAATTGGACAGCTTTGTGAGAGACGGAGGGATCTATATCTCCTTATAATCTATAAAGATGCAAATGCAAACATCCAGGATGAGGGCCAAAGAACCTCACGCTATCAGGAGACCCAGCTAAAGTGTGGGTCTGGTCATACATCTTTTTAATATTTTCAGTAGACTGTTGCCTGTGCTTTCATGCCTTGGCAAGGTCTGCAAAATACAGGTAATGATATTTTAACAATTCAGAAATGTGTTGTCATATTTTATACTCCTTATTTAGCCTTTCTGTTAAACAGAATCCAAATTCTATGTATTTTTAACATGAGCTTGTTTAGATTAGAAAATAGAAGCTTGCTATCCAATTATGTTCAGATTAAACTAGACTAATCCATGATGCTGTGGGTGCTACAGACTAATTGCAGAAAAAAGACATAGAGTGAGAAATAGTTCTTTTATGGAAACCTACAATTATCTCTTAGGTAGAAGCAGACATATTTAAAAGTAATAATATTTTATGTTTAACATGGGAATGTTTTCATTTTTACTCATTATACAAAGATGAAGTTAGTCTTTAAAAATGTGAATTTTTTGATCAGTTCTTTCACTTATTTGTATTAAGTGGATTAATTAATTATTGAGCAAAGAACTGTATGTCAACCATTTTTTGCTTGCCAGAATAGCAATATGAAACACTATTTGCTATATTTCCTAAATAGCAAGTTACTTATGTTAATCAGTTTTTAAAATAATTTGTGGTGCTAAAACAAAGCAGGTGGTTAAACTCAGACATTGATTTTCTCTTTAATGGGTATTTCATCAGTGAAATTTTAACCACTGATGAAGGAGAATATAAAACCATAGTAGGCGTTCACTGAAGACCCTTGCTTACAATGCGAAGATATGTTTCTCTGTCATAGCGTAAGTGCCAACGTGAGTTTCATCCATAAACTAATGAACCTATGAATTTTAACTCCAGATATTGACGGAGATGAATGTCATACTAGGGAGCATTGTCAGCTTTCATTAGAACTCGGGAAGTTTATATTTAGTAAAAATAAACTTTTTAAACAGAAGGGACATGTGTTGGAATTCTGTTAACTAACAATGAAATCCAGCTCTTGGGCTTCTTATTTACCCATCTGGTTCCTGCCATTAGTTTATCACTCATTTGGTGTGATTCTGGTATTGTTAGGGCAAGAATTCTGTTTGCTAACCCCCTATGTACCTGTGGTTGGAAGGCCTATCTCAAATAATATAATAGACTTGGCTAGACTCATTGAACACTCTCTGTGGCCTTTGGCAGGCTTTTAAGCTTTTTTTCTGCTACAGATAACGGTTTTTCTTAAGTGGCAGTGACATATCTCTAAAAATACATCTACAATAAGGTCCTAGTTGTACTTACCTTATAGGTCAGCAGCACCTTGCTGGTGGTGAATATGCTTCTTGATTTCCATTTACTTTAGTTTGCTGGTAAGCACATGCCTGCTTGTAGGCTGTTAAGAGCATTCTTTCTGGCTGAGGCATTTGCAGAATTGGGCTTCGTCTTTACAGTTCTCACTTTATTTGGACACTCTCCTGGTGTTCTCTGTTTATTAACCCTCACCTGGATGGCCTGGCTGAGGCAATGGAACCAAAAGTAGAGATGGTAATGGGTTTCTGTTGTTTTACCTGTTTGGGCCAATAGAAGAATGAAAGGGAGAATGGTGATCAAGATCAAAATGTAAAAAACAGTTCTAATCTTTCCTTATGTAGAGAGAGGCAGCAGATATCTACCCGGTCTCCCCCATTTAAAACAATTAAGCATAATTTTTATTGATTTAGATAATCAGTTATGTATTATAATTATGGAAAGATATTTCATTATGTACAGTTTACTTATGGACTACATTTTTATTGTTCTCAATTTTGTTCAGAGGAAAAAAATTATATATATTTATGAAGTTTACATAGAAATCTTCCCCAAATTACTTTGTAAGGAATGGGATAGATCAAATCTCTCAATGACTAGATATTTAAGTGCAGACATGAGAGTATTTACTGATTTATAACTAATAAAACTTCAACCTAACTGCTCTTCAATGACATCTATAAAATGATATTAAAGTGTGATGAGTAACTTAAAAGACAAGGACTACTGAGAATAGTTTTTTATATTTTTCTAGCTAGCTGCATTTTATTTTTAATCTTTTATTCTATGTGTGCAAACTTAACTACAAAATAAATCTACAAACTCTGCAGTGTAAATGAGGAACTAAATACAGTATGTCAGAATCACAAAAATAATTATGACATAAATGAAAGCAAAAATTAGTTGATAAATATATGTGTGGAAAAATGCCAATAATTGCCATCCAGTACACTCTGAATGTACATATTTAAAAACCAATATGGAATTTGGTTAAGAGAGTTGAAGATAATTTTTATAGGGTTAACATTACATGCTTTAAAACGCATGTTATTTTGTCAACAGAGTTTAATATAATTTATATAAGGTAAACATACAAATTTTAAAAATTACATGGCATTTTATCAAGAAAGTTTATGATAATATCGGGTTGAACAGACAGACACTTTCAAATGAAGGGGGGGAAACTATTTTAACAGTTTATGAGTGTTAACACTACCAGCTCCAAATTAAACAAACATTAACGACATGGCATTATTCTGACATACTCAGTATTTAAAATATCTTTCCATGTATGACGTGTGGTGTAATGAATCATATGTAGAATATAGGATATTTTAGCAGAATATCAAACTGTGGTGTTAATACTGTGTCTGGGTTAAAGGATGTGAAAACATCATAAAAATTATATGGCATCAGTGTTTTTCATAAAAGGATATAATTCAGTCTTCAACAGACTGATGGAAATGAAACACTGTCAACCTTTTTACATTTTTAAGCACAATGTATAAAGGAGGTAACTCATGAAAACAAATTTAGATCCATTTAAATACATCGAAAACAAAGATATTCTAAAGAAATGGTCAAATTTGCCTCTCATCAAGTCCTGCAAGGTTCATCTTGGGTTGAAGCAGGGAGTAGGAATTTTATAAACTATTATGTTATACATAATATATCCATACATATTATGTCATTCTGAAGCAAATGATGAACCCAATTTAAAGTCACAACTACTAGAATTCAATGTACAATAGTACCAGGTATCCAGCTCTGAAGTAGCTGGGTTTGGGGCTTTCTATTTGTACCTCCCCACCACAAGCACATAACTTACAGTTCATATCTAAGCTTTGAATAAGAATATCAGCTACCCTAAAAGTTACCTTCAGGATGAAATACCTTTAAATGCTGCAGCACACTGGATTTCCAGTTAACCAAATTGTATTTCCAGCAGAAACTCCTGGGGTATAGAGTAGTTCTTGTCTGTAAGCCCTTCCCGCTGGTCTTCTTAGGAAGCGTTGCTGGAGCGCTTTATTTATTTTTTTTTAATCCTGTTGATAATTTGACTGTCAACTAATGCTTGCCGACTCATCACTAGCCTTTCTTAGGGTGGAGATGACTGGAAGGTTGAAGGACTGCAGGCCATACATCATTCTCCCCTTCTCAGTGTACCTTAATATGAACATGGCATCATGACTCTGAGGAAAGGAGGGGAAAGCTGAGCCATCAGATATTCCACAAATTGCAGGCTTTCCCTGTGTCCTGTAGTGCCGGAAAGGGGGATTATTGCTGCAGAAAAAGAAAATCTGGCCACTCTGTAGAAATAATCACTGCAGTGCTATCTCCCCTGTTTTCTCTCTCTTTCTCTCTGTGTGTCTCTTCCTCTCTCTTTTTCTTGCTCTCTGTACGAGGCCCCAGCTGATTCAGGCTGCATCCAACCATACATAAATCATTCCCCTTATTCTATTGGTTACATGGTACATGGCAAGTATTGATTTTTTCCGTTGCCTCATTGCTGGAGAACACTTGGTTTTGTGAGACAGAAAAAGCAAAAACCCAACCAAACCAAAGCAAACAAAAAAATCCTCACCAGAGTTTTGTTTAGATAAGAAATAATCAGGTAGATGTGAACCATGCTGATGGTAAGTGTGTTCTAAAAAGAGCATACTTTTGGGAGGCCTTTTACTGACTATATGAATGTTCCCAGTACCTCGTGTCTCAAAATTAAGAAAAAAGAATTGTTTCTAGTTGTGGAGGCTCTGGACTTAGGAATTAGGAAGAATATGCAGAGAGGGCAATCCTCTCTAATTGTGCAGGATAAGGAGGCATCTAATTAATCACTGCTAACTCCAGGAAAAGAAAAGTTTAGTTAAAACACAACTTACTCACAAAACAGGAATAAAGAGGCAAAGATAATGCCTCATGGCCAAATGACAGCATACAAGACAGGAAGAAAGGGATATTTACCTAGGTTTATTTTGTGTGGTGATAAAATGTGCAATTGTGCCTTGTTTGTGTGAAGTATAAATGTAAAACACTGTCAAAATATTGTGTCTTGCAATACTCAGAGGTGGGAAATAGCAAAAAAGCAAATGTGTCTTAGTTTAGGATTCTGACACTTAAGTCTTCAGAACCTAAGTTAAAACACGCAAGAGTCTTAATATATTATTTGTCAAAAGAGCCATTCGTTTTAAAGTGATAGCAGCTCTTGGTCTCTATCCAAAGGGGTTTTATTCTTGAAATATCAAAATGACTTATTTATGAGGTAATGCTGTCCAAAGGAGTGTCCCAATATATGAGGAAATTGTTATAACAACGAAATCATTGTAAGAAGGTGATAGTGCTAATATAAGATGTGAAAAGATTATAAAATCCACTTTAAGTTTATGAGTCTGTGTCACAACTTATTAATCTAACAAAGGGCGAAGTTCAAGAACAAAAACAATTCAATGGGTTACACAGGTGTCAGGGTATTTTCTTTTGCATTCTACTTAGAGCTGTCAACTAATAAATTTACCATATGCAAAAAATGCAAGTGAGAAATGTAATGTCTTCTTTAACCTACATTATGAAGTTAAAAAATTTCTTTTAACCCCAAGCCTTTACTTCTTACATAAAGAGTCCACTAAGTTAAACTGTCACTAGCCTCAGAAATCAGACTATGATTTCTCTTTTTATAATCACAAAAGCTATGCTGGAGGATTCTTGTTGTCTTTTTGGTCTGTCAGTTTACCTTGTGGCTCTTGGTCTTTAATCCACGTTTATGATAAGGTCTGCCCAACAGAGGATTCTGTGGAGTTAAGCTGCGAGGGGCTGCCCAGCTAGAGCTGTGCCCAGCCCTTTGGGTATTTAGCTTCTCAATGCACAGAATACTACTCATCTCTCTTCTCCTTATCAATCCCTTTTATTGAAGCTCTTAGAGCTTCTCTTTTTATGTGCAAGTGCTGGTTTATCTAAATTGCCATTTCAAGGGAAACTGTGAATTAAGATTTGGGAGAAGGCTTTAGGAAACCTGCGTGGAATTTTGTAGATATTAATATTTCATTGTTTGGTTTGTTTGTTGTAGTTTGGGGCTCCAGCCCACTGCTTATTTTCTTAATCATCTCATATCCATGAATTGGGGAGAGTAAGATTGCCTGTCAACCTACCTAGATGGCAAAAGAGTTCATAAAGGACCTTGATTCTCAATCCTTTGACCCAGCAATCTTATTACTGGGTATATCCCCAAAGGATTATAAATCATTCTACTATAAGGACACATGCACATGTATGTTTATTGTGGCACTATTCACAATAGCAAAGACTTGGAACCGACCCAAATGCCCATCAATAATAGATTGCATTAAAAAATGTGGCACATATACACCATGGAATACTATGCAGCCACAAAAAAGGATGAGTCATGTCCTTTGCAGGGACATACATGAAGCTGGAAACCATCATTCTCAGCAAACTAATACAAGAACAGAAAACCAAATACTGCCATGTTCTGAGTCATAAGTGGGAGTTGAACAATGAGAACACATGGACACAGGGAGGGGAACATCAGACATTGGAGCCCATTGGAGGGTGGGGAGCTAGGGGTGATTAGAAATACCTAACATAGATAACGGGTTGATGGATGCAGGAAACCACCATGGCACCTGTATACCTATGTAACAAACCTGCCTGTTCTGGATGTGTATCTCAGAACTTAACGTATAATAAAAACATTTTTTTTTAAAAGAGAAACAATGTCTTTTAGAGATGCGCTCATTGTTAACACTTTGTAAAATAAAAAAAGGATTTCGAGCACTTTAAATTTGAAAGGTAACAGACACGATAATGACCAAAACGACAGGCAATGCTTTGGACATGACCTTGTTTCATTTCTCTGCCTCATCCTTTCCTAACTCAACAACTTGAACAAATGTTTCTTGACCATTACTTGTTGCAAGCGGTTTGCTCGACCAAGGGAAAGCTGCAGAGCTAAATGCCCATGCCCCCTCCAAATGCAGTGGGCTCACTGGGCAAACACACAGGCATACAAGCTTCTGTGCAAGAAGAGGTGCATGTCACACACATGGCACAGGTTTCTGCTGTGTAACTCTAGTGCTCTCTA